GCATCTGGAAATTAAACGACTTGGATTATCTACTACGAAATCTACACTCCTTCATCCTTTCTGAATGAATGCATGTAAACCCAAAGTGTCATTCAAAATGTGCTCATATTCGAGAATTGTTGATGAACAGGGGGTTCCATTGAATTGTAGGACCATGAGATCGTAACTTACGCTTTTTCAGTTTGCAGTTGCCGGCAGCCCTAAAGAACACTATGATCATTTGATCAAATTCAAAAAGTATCAGAGCTCCTTTTGTGTAAAGAGAATGTTTCTGAAAATTAGTCATCATATAGCAAATTATTTGCACTGNTATTCGTGACTATTGAAAATTCACAGAATCATGCGATTTTTGTTCAATTGATGCGTGCGAAAAGGTGAGCGTTTTGGAGTTGTTTTCAAGCAAATTCGTTTTGATGTCTATTCACGTTCCACTTTAGTCAAATCGGTGTTGTTTTGGCTAGTGGAATGGACGGCGGTATTACAACGGTGAATAGTTTTGTTATTGGCGGATGGATGCTTAAATGGATCAGAGCAAATTGAATGGGTGTGAGAAGCGGGAGTAGAACTCACTTGCTTTACATTACTCGTAATTGCTTGTGGTCATCAAATTCATTACTATTTCATTTCGTGCAACTTTATTCATTCACATGAATAGTAATGAATCTTCTTTACGATTCCACGAAACTTTCAAATGGATTCACCTCTTTGAGAGAACAGTTTCAGAAAGATTTCAGTTTGAAAACAAAAAGAACGACGGAAGATTCACAGCGGAAATTCTTTATGCATTAGTTCTATTAATGATGCATCAAACGTCTTCAGTTTTGTTATTAATCATTAACGGTTTTATTGGCACTTTTTAGTTTTGAAGATGTGAGTGAGTGAATAGTTTCAGGTTTTTTGCTTCGTTTCACTCGTTGTTGAGATTGTTTTCGATATTCTAGCAGCAGTGCTTTTATAAGCATTAAGTATTACCAACTCTAGTAACTCTTCGGCAACATAGTATTAGCTTGATATCTCCGCTCACATAAGATATTCTTATCTCACCATAAGAACAAATTGACTGGGCGGGCGCTCGTTGGGAGGAACATCTGTGGAAACCGAGCAACGAACAACCAGCTTGAACTGAAACTGAAGAGGGCGGACGAAGCCATCATCGCAAGTGTTTGGTTGTTAACTACCACTGGAAATCATTTCAACAAGTGATTTGTCTATTATAATAAGATAGATATCCTTTTGATTCACTTATATACAGGCTGCACTCTTCAGTCTTTATTCATTTTGATTATTTTCACCACAGCCATCATCTGTCCGTTCCCGTTACTCTTCCTCAAGTGCGCGGATTCTGAAGGAGTAAATTCAAACGGCCCAATCCCCCTCCTCACCGAAATCCATGTTCGACGCCGATCCATTGTGATGTTTGATGGATTAAGGTGAACTTGATGCCATTAGAGTCAACCATAAGAGCTGACTGAACTAACCGCTGATCGTAAGACTTTCTTGAATCGTTGATCTAAAAAATATCCTCATTAAGTAAGTAGATCAAATATGAATTTTCACATGATCATATATAGCCTAGTATCCGAAGTTACCTCACTGCTATGAGTGTGTTGGATAGCTGATGAAGGAGATCGATGATGAACCTACGTTACTATTCTAAGAATAAAACATCTTGTTATGGTAAGCTTTGGTAAGCTTTACACGATGCGAAGTTTTTTGTTCTGTTGTTATTATTGCTACAGAAAGGTGCATGAAAGCGATTGTAACTGGAATGGTTGTAACTATTTTAAGAATAAAACAGCGTGTTATGATAACCTTAATCGGCGAAGAAAAATCAAAACAGAATCGGCTATCGTGCGAGCGAATCGGCTATCGTGAACGAGCAGAAATCAACCGGATGCAATGCTTAAATATGCTGCCAGCAGAGGAAATTGATGTCAAAATTTTCGAGAAAAGAAACCGATCTGTTTTTTGCGATCGCAATGAACAAACAAAATCTTCTGCTCTCGTTCCATCATCCACTAAAGCATCGATGATTCATTATCATTTATCGGCACTATTGAGAGAGAAGATGTTGGAAGCCGCCGCCAGGCACCAAACAACCTCATCCGCTTGGCTTGTCTTGCAATTAAATGCACATTAGGTATTAGGTTCGGATGAGAGCGATTCAAAGGGGAATGCATCATGAGAAGAATCAAATTCAATGAAATCAAATTGAAATGTAATTGAGCCGTGTTGAACAAATGCGAAAAAAACATTGACAGCACATTTGCATGGCACGTTGTTGGAAGTGTTCGAATGATTCTATAAAAGCGTTCATTCTCGTCAACTCGTTAACAGTGCTTCACATCGTCATCCGTAAGCACACTCTGGCCACCACCACGAATATCTGATTCTATCCACTCACCAGCTCATATTCAATATCCTTGAATCAAGTAACCAGCTCATGCTTCTCAAGAAGAGCAAAATTCTGCTTGAACTGAGAAATTTTGCAGCTGGTACATGCCTATCTATCCTAACCAACTGTTGTCTGTAAGTCCATTCTCACCTAAGCTTTGCAGCATCTCTAGACCTCATTTCTTGATGATTTTATCGAGAAATTAAATCGTTCAGTTGTTTTCATTTCAATTTAACTCTGTCTAAGTATTGGCTGTCAACAACACGAACACGACCGTCAGCTGGATTGTACCCATCAACCTCAGTTTTCTGATGATATATATCACAAGAGCATCATGCTCAAATTGTCCTCGTAGCTGAGTGCCACTGCAGTTAGGAATCTGCTCACGACATCACTCATTTTCTTGCATGACCATGTCGTATTGATGACTTGCTTTTTCATTATCATCTGTGATGTGTTGTTTTATATAAAACGAATAATTAACAACCAAAAAAAAACTAGCGATAGAAGCAATTGTTCAGAATTGTGATGGATTGCGATTAAATTCGAAAAAGAACAAACAAATAACGATGAAAACGAGCCGACGTAATTAAGAGGCTTTGTATTTTTAGACTGAAAACAAGTTTAAGTCAATCAAAAGTGCAAAAAGCTCATGAAATGGTGAAAAAAATATTTTCATGACTATGTTTACTATGAACTCTGATCGTTGAATGCGATCAGTATTCGTAGCGAAAAGGTGTTGGTGGACTTCAGTTTGCTGACTGAAAACCTATAAAAATAACTAAAATAGCTGAAAACATAACAACAACTCGTGCATTTTAAGTTTATTTCGGAACAAACAGGTTCATTCGGAATCACAGTGGAACTGTCGTCAAAGATCACTACTGTTTGTTGATAGTTCTGATAAAGAACAATTCATTCAGATTTATTTATAGGTAATTGATGGGTTTGGGTTGAATGTCGCAAGAATTTAAAGGGCAAATTGATAGCGATATTCGGTGTGATTAGAATTGATAATGGTGTTGACATGTTTATGTCATTCAAGGCGTCACCGAATCTAAGTTAAACAAGACTGTTGTTTGTAGCGTTTCAGTCGCCAATGACGAAAAGTTTTCTTAATTGATGGAGGAAAATATGGGTTGGTTGGGCTCTGATTTGCAATTTATCATATTTTGCTGCAGGGTGGAATCGCTGCATGTTCGAATAGTCCATACAGTTTTATTGTACTGAATCGGTTCCAATTAAACAACTATTTGATTTTTCAAACAATTTTACAACAGTAATTTTTTGCGGAAGTGCTGTTTACATATTTATTATCCGCCGACCCTTGCACTATCCGTCATCGTGCTCGACGGTATTATTTAAGGAGAACGTTGACATACTGTAGTGCAGTGTCACGACCGCATCCAATCATTCATTCCGTTTATCAACCTTAACTCTCGCAAGAGTAACTACTTACTTTTATTCACGTCTCAAAACAACTCCTTAATAGACTACCCTTAAAGCCCTTGTTATACCACTACCTAGGTTCCGTTGACGATAAGCCCTGAATAGTTATTACTGATAGTAATAATGCTAGCAATAGTGATGACAGCACTACTAACTAACGATAAAAATTGAATTTGAAATTTTGGGAGTCAAAATCTATCGCCATTGTATCGCTTATGCTCATTAACATATTCAATAATAGTAATAATATTGTTGCAAATATGAGGAAGTGAAGTGATTGCATTCATATACCTGAAAATATCTGATTTATCGCAGATCGGAGGGAAGTCGACAAAATAAGACTACCGTTCAATATTGGAGTAATGTTTGCACGCAATCCAATGAATGCATTGAATCGTTTATCCAGGTGTTTGTTCATGATGAGTAGGTATTCGTGTATTTTCAACACTTGAAACAGTTTTATAGTAACAGCAATTCATTATTATTCATTAGCCATACTGAGTGAGCAAAGGTATTGAAACTGAACTCATTCGAAGAGCTGACACTCACCTATTTCTGCGAAGATGTTGTCGGTAGNCCACAGCCTTAGCCAATATCTCTGATTGTGTATTACAGAAAGGAATAAATCTCACCAGTAAATTCAGTCGTTTTACATCGTTTCGCACCATTTATGCGGCTTTAATCAAAGAGAGAGTATCAGAGAGGAACGATAGAATTGGTTGTCAGTAGACCACAGCCTCAGCCAATATCTCTGATTATGTCGTATGGAAATGAATAAATCATAGCAGAATGATTTCTTTGCATTTAAAACTTGGTTTTGCGGCATATCTCTCAGAATTATTACGTGTAATAAGTCTTTAAAATGAATAGTTCGTTTATGGTATCATAATTTCTTATTAGAACGTAAAGATTTCTTATAATGTGCGCCTTCATTCGTGGATGGTTGCGTGTGTGTGTGCGTTTAAAAGTCGTAATGGAACGTATCCGTTTCAGTCATTTTCGATTATTTTCATATCCGTAATATTGGTCATTTTCAAAATTTTTCATATATATCCGTTTCAGTCATTGTCAATTTTTTTCATATCCATAAGTAATCGATCAAACTGAGTGTTTTGTAATTGAACCGAAGCACGATTACAACGAGAAGCATACGATAATGCCATTTGCACATGTCTTCTTCGATGCTGCGATTGCTATTCTTATAGTGGCCTGTGCAGTGAGGTGAGTTCTCGTCTGTGATGATCACGAGTATGTTCTTAATCACAAGCCGGAGGGTGCGATTCCTATCGACCTCAGTTGTCGTTTAGATAGCATATGTAAACTCATGTTCAACATGCTGCATTCCAAGCATGTTGAATGCATTAGTTTGATTCTTTGATCTTTTCTTCAACATTTGTTCTGTTTAGTTGGGAGGAATTGATCTAGCTTATAGTGAAGAGTACTTCTTGGATACTATACGAGTGAATGTGCATTCATGATATTCCTGATTTCAGTTCTAATTTTTCTTTAGACCACTGAAAAAATCGTATGTTTCAGCGCTCTACCAATGCATTCGAAGAAATCAGCACACGATCTGCAAGGGTTCGCGTCAGCATTGAACGGAGCCGGAAGGTTACGATATGGCAAACGATCTTACGATCCAAGGCTCTATCCTGAATTTTTTCCAGCTTTAGAGTCCGTTCTTTTCATTCTTCAGACCTTTGTTTATTGACGTTGTGATGGTCATTTGTTCAAAAGCGAGCGATTATTCGGGTGGACGTTTGCTTAAGTTGATTCGTTCACCTCAAAACTTTTCAATTTTGTCTTCCTCACCTAACAAATTACGATGTTTAGCAGTATTTTACCAAGCCGTAGTCCACCTATGGCCTCTTATCTCAGGCATACATGACCGAATCGAATCAGATAAATTTCAATTGCTAGCAATAAGAAATTTGTTCTGCGAAGATTCCGTCTGAAATTTAATCACTACGATCCATTGAACTAGGAGTTTGGGCGATAAGGTTCTTGGAACGTCTCTGATACGTACTGCAACGGTCAAGTGGGATGAATCAAATGACAATGTTCAGCACTGCATCGCATTAAATTCATTGCTGACAATATAGCAACAATCTTTTCAATTTCAGTGACACTGGAAGATTGACCATTAGCCGTTTGGGCTCTGATGAAGATATGGAAGATCCGCTACTGTAAGTTTTCATGTCTGCGTAGATTTATCTGTTTCAGATGTAATTCGGTGAAAGAAATAAATATTGGTCAGCAAAATACCGCAATTTTCTTTCCCGCATCCATCCATGCAGTAATCGTTTAATCGTCATTTCGTTATTAATGTTTAGCATCCTTGATCCTTGATCGTTGACGGACTTAGTGGTAAGAAACTGATTTTAATCATTTAAATTCATGGATAAGTCGATATTTCTCTGTGTCTAGAGATCAAAGAAATATTGGGAAAGAATAAAACAATGAACATTTTTATGCTTCGAAAGAATGACCAAAACTTTCACGCGAAAGTTTTGAAGAG